TTTCAGTGTTAATACTTAGACCCTCTTCTTCCTGGCAAATGACCATGAGCACTAACTGATACCTGCCAACCACTAGGAACTATCCCTTTTTTCTTCTGAGAGAGTAAAATTTACAAAACTGACTACAGTTTTCCCTGCTGAGAGATATGATACACACTGTCAAAGTTTCTTAGTGCTTCAGTGAGTTTCCTTGGGCATAAATTTTGTTTGCCTGATAAGCTTGTTGGTTGCATAATATATAAACTCCCATGTGTCGGCTTCAGCAACCACACAGGGCCTGCTGACGACCAGCTCTGTCACACTGTCTTTATCCTTCCATGAGGGATTTGGGCTTAAGGATCCAGAGCTGACCATCTTGAACGCTTTTAAAACTGTGTCTCCAGAGAAGAAAACATTAAAAAATGAAAACAAATATCTAGTTACAATCAGTACAGTTACTCTCAAGTGCAGAAAGTTCTTGCAAGCTGTAATTTCTTCTTTGTAAATCATATTGAGTCATGCTTGGTTCTTGAATGGGTGTGAACGAAAAGTAAAAGTGCTGGTAACTGCCACGCTCCCATCAGCCCCATGTTAAGTGCTGTTCTATCTTACTTACCCCACAAATTTCTAAGTGAATTGAACATGAAGATGATTATTCCTATTAAGAGCAAGGTTCCTGGCCAAACCATATATCATTGTTAAAGGAAAAAATTCAGTGATGCTTGTAATACAGAGTGAGGCAGACTTTATTAAAGATTGTTACAATAAGTGCAGGGGTCATGGCAATGAGGTTTTGCAGCAAGGAAGAGAGATTTGGCTCAACAATAAATATAGCATGGGTTGGTGGGAATTTATAGCCAAGTAGGTATCAGTGGATGGGAAATTACAAGGAGGAAACGCCAGGAGTAGGAGGGATTCTGGCTAAATTGTCCTAAAAACATTTTTTGTGTAAAGGCAAGCCAAGGTGACTAGACATCCCTTGGGGAATGGTGGAGGAGGTGGCCCCTTATCAGATATCAGGAATGACTTCATATGGAGGGGTGGTTAACGGACTAATATAGTTCAAAGGAAAGAAGGATGTATCTTATTTCCTTAAGAGAGAGGACAGACAAATTTTTTTGCTTCCCCAAACCTTTGTCAGGTTCCAGAAAGCTCTCCTATTCCTATTCCTATTCCTATTCCTTGTAAAATCTACTTTTAGCGAAGTTCTCACCTGGTGAGGTAGTTTAGCAAGAACCCCCTTCCTCAATATCTGACCACCTTGATATCCGACCAGGACCAGGTCCCTCGTCTTCCACCATCCCTACGAGCTGTCTGATTACTCTGGCCTGTTTTCTGAAAGAATCCTATTAGGTCGGTTGAGGCAGAATTCCCGCTACTCCTGATGTTTCTTCTCAGTAATTTTCCATGCACTGCCTCACACTCCATTCCTTGTCTATACATTCTTGTGTGCCAAGCTGTAATTTAAACTGGACCCAATTCTACACTGAAGTCTTTGCCCCCTATTGCAGGTAGTTCTGAATATGATGTATTTACTCTGCTTTAACTACTGACCAACTCTGCTTTATTTTTTCTTTGGAAACTTCGTAAAAGAACACAAAGTAGTTTTAAAAGAGGTGTCTTAGCTCAGGATACCATAACAAAGATCCGGAGATAAGGTGGCTTAGAAACAACAGAAATTATTTCTCAGATTTCTTCAGGGTAGACTTTCCAATCAAGCTGCCAGCATGGTGGTGTTCCGGTGATCCCCCACCTGACCTAATTATCTCCCAAAGGTCCTACCTCCTAACTGTATTGGCTATTAGAATTCAGCAAATGAATTTGAGAGGAGTAAAAACACCCAATCTCTAACAGGGATGAAAAGTCAGAACCGGTATTTCCGGCAGCAGCTCCTCCCTGTGGGTTTTCAGGAAGTAGTTTTCCTCTTTCCCGTCTGGCTTCAGTCCCACCCCCTTTACCACCTGGCTCCGCCCTCCCTCCTCCCCCTCACTCCCTTCTCAGTTGCTGGACTTACCGGGTTGTCCTAGGGCCAAGACCGAGGAGCTTGTTAATTTTTGCATTAGGTTTGCTACAAAATGATAGTGACCTCATGGATCTAAAGAGAACAATTTGTTATTTAGTTATTAAAATATAGTTTTACAATAATCAGTGCTAGGTTTTCCTCTGTTAAGTGGAAGTGTTAATGTGCTCTACAAATTGCATTTCTAAATCACAAATCAACAGATTTTATGTTTAGAAGTTTTTCACCTGTGTTTATTTACTATTTCTTTTTTTTTTTTAAATTTAAATTGCTATACCACATGGCACAGAGACATTACTATACAGAAAGCAGCTAAATAATTACCAAGGCACAATAGCCCCTTTGCAGACTGTCTTTCTGTATTTGATGGGAGAATGAGACTTCAATGAGAGGTCAATCTGAATAGGAACCGTAGATAACAAATACCGTGCCTACATCCTTAATCATCTCCATGGATAATAAGCAGAATTAAAGGAAATTTCATGAATAACATTGCTTCTTCTCATTAAAATTTCAAATTATGTTTGAAAATTACCTCTGATTTATTTAAAATATGAGCAAAGTTTTGCATAAACTCTACATGCAACATCACTAGCTCACTCAAGTCCCTTGTCACAAGTGAAGTCGAAAGGGTATTTGAAATTGTAGCTGAATATTAGAAAAATGAAAATTTTTCCTCTAGTGTAATTGTAGGTTCTATCTTCCTTGAACTTTTATGAGATGAGGTGCTGTAAAATAAGATGAAATCATAGGCTCAGGGAGTCTTCAGAGCTAATAAAAGAGTTAAGGTTGAGCCTCATCTTCTCATTTTGAGGAACAGAATCCAGAGTTAAGGGCTCATTCAGGATCACCCAGGTAGACCAGCAGACTTAAATCCCACCATGCAAGAGTCAGTCCCAAGCACTTCCTATCATGTGTGTACTCCATGCACGGCAAAGGGAGAACTTATATACATTTTCCTTTTCAATTCTTTTGCTTCTGCCATCATTTAAATTACCATCATCTATTGTTAGGTATAGTTGAATTCAGTCCTTAATATTATGTGACACCATGCCAACTGCATAATTAAACATTGTATTGGCCTATTAGCAAAAAACCCCCCAAATTTGCATTTATTCTTTCTAAAATTACAACTAAACTATCTATCATTAAATAGCACAATTCTCCTTAAGGAAAATCACTTTAGTAATGTGTTTAAATAGGCACTCAGTAGAAGTTTGAAGAGATAATGAATAGATACAGTTTTTTGTTTTTTGAAAGAAAATGAAATGGTTTGTATACACTTCTCTATTTAAATTCATTCTCTACACAATTGCTAGATTTCCTTTAAAATGTGCATCTGGTTGTCCTTGTCCTCTCAGAAAGCATTCCTACTGTCCAACAGACCAAGTTCCAGCACTTCAGGGTAGCATAAGCTCTCTCTCTTTGCTTTGTAGATGGCCACCCTCTGAATGTGTCCACACGTAGGATTCTCTCTGTGCCTACCTCCGTGGTATTTCCCCTTGTATACAAATTTCCATTCCTTATAAGGACAGCAGTCATATTCACTTAGGGCCATGCCTCATGGCCTCATTTCAACTTACTACCTCTTTAAAAGCCCTGACTCCAAACCCAGTTGCATTCTGAGGCTCTGGGGGTTAGAGTTTAACATCCGAATGGGGTTAATTCAGTTCATAAGCACTGGACAACCTAGAAAACGTCCTGATCTCTATTCACATCCATTTCCCTTCCAGTTCTAGGGCTCTTATCTTTATGGTGAATCTACTTAGCGGTTCAAATACTGATGATCCCTGAGAGGTACAGGAGGTGACCTGGCCCAGTAATGTTTTGGGTCCAAGTTGTTCTCTATTTGAGTAGCATTTGCTTTTCATATACCATTTCCTAAAGGCCATGTTTTCACCAGAGTTTATAGCAGAAGACCTTAAAGTAATTCTTTCCAACTTATAACTTTTTGCTTGAAAATGCGTTGAATGTGATTATCTGAAACCTTGGGAATCTTGGCTAGCATTCCTAAAATGACCATGAGCTTGGACAGCAGGTGCATCAGTCTTCCAAAATCTGTATGGCATGAACTTGACTGGCTTATAGTGATTCATTCGTATGTATTGCATTCTGCATCTGAGAATCTGATCTTCTGGCAGAAATGTCTTTTGGTTGGATTTTGCGTTATTTATGCATTAGAAATTATCATTCAATATTGACCAAGTATATTTGCTTTAATACAAAGTCCAGAAGTAACTCAGTTATAGATTAAATAATTTTGCCGGAGAGGAGAAAGTAGAAAGACTATAAATATTAATAAAATTCATTATTTCAGCTCAATGGCTGTTTCCATTCTTAGAATAATTCATCTACATTTCTAATCCAGCATCAGTTGGAGGGCTTGGGGGTCATAAATAATTTAAGTAATTTCAGAAAATGAGAGTTTATTTCAAATTTCCCCTATTAAGAAGCAATGTGCTAAAAAGCACAATGAGAAAACATGTGCTGTTGCTTTGTTTTTAAAACAAATAGAAATTCATGTTCACTCAGTCTTCAAAGACATCTGAATTCTCAGCATAAATTACAGCACTGTTACTCTGTGACAGAAAGCAATGTAACCTCCTCACTGATTAAAATTATAATTTAGTAAAATGATTAATATATTTTCACTGGAAATTATAACATGCAATTGCCTATGCACTCTTTTTCAAGCCTAATTCATTCTAAAACAAGCAATTATTAGTAATGACAATTATGTAAATGGCCAGTAATATCATTTCATAAGATTCATCTTCCCAAGAAACTAATTAAATTTGAACAGCAAAAAATACTCTAACATAAATGAATAAAAAGTTTATTTAAAAATATTATATTTACTAATTTAATCTGTTGACTTAGCCATGTTTTTTTTTTCTCAAATTGGATAGTAATGTAGCATAGATTAATGACTTCAAAGTTGAACTGAATCTGGATAAATTAAAATGACAGGCTTTTAGTTTATATCATTTAATTTATTGCTTCAAAATTTTGCAAGGGAACAAAATGAAAATTACATTTTTCTACACAGTGTAATGAGTGTCACTTTTATTTTAGTTTTGTTATCAAAATGGTGCCTTTACTACAGGAATCATTCTTAAAATTGAAAATAAATTTGTGGAGTATATATGTGCTACCTTGCAGTGAGTGAATAAAATCTTCGCAGAATTTTATCAATTAAAATTTTTTACCCAAAAGAAATCAATATTCATAGTGGCTTTCACTTTCAAAATTTCCTAATGTTATGAAATAGAAGGTAGAATTTGGAGTTGAAGGATAATAGTTGAGAATTGCTATTTGAGTGTCTTTGTTGTCTGATCTTTATTAACATCACCACAAACTTTGTTTTTAAAAAATTGCTCTTTCTGTCTTAATTTTTCCAGCGTGACTTAAAGGTAGCATGTACAGAACAAAACCTCGTTGAGTTCACCAGAATCTTATTATATGCAGGGAATAGAAGCGCATGTCTTTAAGTACAAATTCTACTATATTCTCACAAAAGAAAAATTTCTTGGCTATAAAGTCCTATGACTTTTGAATCAAAAAAGGAACTTAAAAAAGCCTACTTACTTTCTCATTCTTTCTTAATTAATTCATTTGTCAAATGCAGGCGAAGTTCTCATCATGTGTCAGCCTTAAGGTCGAGCTCTGGGAACACACAGATTGTGAAAGAGAAGTCCGCATCTCAGACTCAAGCGTTACTCGTGCAGCGAGGTTGTAAGAGGTGAAGGTCCAGGCTAGGACTGTCCAGTGACGGAGCACCGGCTCCAGAGCAGCCCTCTGGTTTCAGGCTGCAGCACCGCACAAGTAATGACTTCAGGGTCCCAGGGGAGCGCACCCACCTCTTTCTCCTGGAAGACCGCGCAGGTATCTCCGCGATGACCCCACCGCCCTGGCTCTCCTCCGGGAGGGTCTGGTCCGGGCAGCCTCTCACGGAAACCATGAGCTCTGCAGCCTCCAGAGACGAAATATTGGTGCAACCCAGTGGAGGGTGGTTAAGGATAAGCCATACCGTTAGGAGGCAACTTTCCTCTTAGTAATACCTACGTCAAGTTCATAGTTTGGTTAATAAATGACTTCCAAAGCTTTCCCGGCGCCGCTCTTCTCTGCTGCTGACAGCGGCGGGTTCCTGAGTTTCGGTATACCTCTTCTTGGAACTTGTACAGTTTTATTTCCAAGATTTTCTCTCACTTTTGTACCTTTGAGTCTTGTGTACTTGACCGTCTCACCCAAAGTTTACTTCCATCCAGACGCTCCTGGCCTCCCTGCTCTGCCCTGGTCTCTGGGCAGCCGCTGTCTCACCCAGGCCTGTAACGGTGCTGCGCAGTCCGCGCCGTGTCTCACGGCCCTCGGAACGCCCCTCCTTCACCCTCCTCCCTCAAATCCACTGCACATTCTGCTCCGTCCGGTTTGGCTCCCCAGCCCCCCGCAGAGCTGGGCGCAGCTTACTAACATCCGTCGAGCGAGAAGGAGGCCGTAACACCAGTGCGCGAGTCGCCTGACCCCAGTGGATTGGGCTCTGTCTGTGACCGTTCTCAGATCTCTGTGCGGAGTGCCTTCTTCTGGGGCCCTGCGTCTGAAACTGAAGAATTCGACTGATGGTAATGTCAGAAACTACCATTTCAACAGCTTGGGCTTTAAAGATCTAAAGATCTAAAATATTACTGTATTTACTTTTGTTGACTGCATACATTTACTTTTTTTGACGGCATATGCTTATGCTGTACAATGTAACATTTTGCTTTGCTGGACTAAGCAGAAGTGGTAGGCTGTGAGTCAGAAAAAAAAGAAAGCTGAAACAAGGAACAAAAAGTAGAAGGGTTATTTTGAGGTGAACTTTTTTTGTCTGGGTTAAAATGGGGGGCGTCCTTATCTCAGATTGACTAGGCCTCTTTGGATTGGCTGCTGTGAATCTCCTATGCTTCCTTCTTTATAGCTGGCTTATGGGTAAGTTTAGTTTGAGTGTATGGCACTTGGATGAGTTTCTCAGGGCTGACTTGGTCTAGTCTTTGGAGAGCTACTGTAGGAGCTCACTTCAGAACAATAGATACTAAAAATTTTGTTTAGCAATTCCCCACCTTTGATCAAACTTTTAGCTTGTACTAAGAGATTTGATCAAAATTTATGGCATGAATATCACTCCGAGTTATCGGCGTGGCAGATTTATCTTTGTCTTGGTGTGGAACTCCTGAAGCATGATGTGGAATTGTGGGAAGAAAATACCCTTTCTGTTACTCACCCTGTCTGTGTTGCTCTAAACACGGTGAGACAATATGTCCTGTCAGTGACAGCTGTGACCATGTGAGACCCGGAGAGGATGTAAGTGCTCCAGGGAGGTCACAGCGAAGACTGCTGAGAGGCCAATACCAATAGACTGGAGGATTTTTCTTTATCCCAAACTGCCATAAACCAAATCAGCTAAAATAAACAAAAGAAAAGCAAAGGTTAACAGCTACAACAAACTGTGAACTTGGTCTGAGTCCAGAGTGAGGTTAGCTGAGAAGATGTCTGGATTTGAACTTGAAGAATATTTTAGTTTGAATATTGTAGTTTGAAAGCCTTGGACTGTGGAGTTAGGCCGTTGGGAGAACTCCTTGAGTAGCCCACACGTCAGAGGAGGGACGGCTCCTGAAACTGACATAAAATGACAAGCACTAGCCTCTAGGTCCTCAGAAAAGGGAGGTCTTGTGCCGGGTGATTCCAGTTTAGAGATGTGGGAGAAGACTAGCCATGAGTTTGGAGTGTCCTAGGAAGACACTGGTGGGAACTATAAGGTGCACTCAAAATACACGGTGGATATTTAAATTAAACCCTCTTGGTATGATGTGGGCTGTTGGTTTGTTATAGATAGCTTTCATCAGACTGAGGTATAAGACCCTCTATTTAGATATTTTTAGGGTTGAGTTTGTCAAACGGTTTTCCTGCATCTATTGAGATAATCATATGGTTTGGTCCTTGGTTCTGTTTATGTGGTGCATTATGCTTATTGATTCGCATATGTTGAATCATCCCTGAATCTTTGCGATGAATCCTACTTGGTCATGGTGTATTTCTATTTGATAATTTGCTGTATTGTGTTTGCCAGTATCTTACTGAGTGTTTTTGCATCTATGTTCATTAAGGAGATTGGCCTGTATTTCTCTTTCTTAGATGGATCTTTCTCTGGTTTTGGTATCTAGGTAATGCTTACTTTCAGGAATAGCTTCCCTTTCAGTTTCATTAAAGAGTGTGAGAAGTAGTGGTATTCAATCTTCTTTAAAGTTCTTATAAAATTCAACAGTGAATCTCTCAGGACCTGGGAATTTGTTGGTCATTTTTTATTATGCTTTAATTTCATTGGATGATATTGGATTATATAAAATTTTTATATCTTCTTGATTCAATAGTGGTAATTCATATGTATCTAGCAATGTGTCCATTTCTTCTGAGTTTTTTAATTTAGTAGAATATAAATTCTTAAAGTAGGTACTGATCACACTAAATGACCAAAAACTGAAAGCTTTTACTCTAAAATTAGGAACAAGACAAAGATGTTCACTATCACCGCCCCTGTTCAATATATTCTTGGAAACATTAGCCAGAGCAATTAGAAAGAGAAAGAAATATAAAAGATATGGACAAGAAAGGAAGAAGTTGAATTATCCTTACTTGCAAATGGCATGGTACTCTATATACAAGACCCCAAAACTCTACCAAAAGACTCTTAGAATTAATTACCAAATTTGGTAGCATAGCAGGGTACAAAGTCAGTTCTCAAAACTCAACAGCATTCCTGTACATGAATTTCAAACTCACTGAGAGAGAAATCAGGAAAACAACAGCTTTCACAATAGCATCAAGAAAAATGAAATACCTAGGAACAAACCTAATAAAGGACATGAGAAACTTTCCATTGCAAACTACAGTACTCTGAAAAAGGAAATCAAAGAGGATATAAGGAAACAGAAAGACATCCCCTGTTCTTGGATAGGCAACACTAATACAGTGAAAATGACTAGACTTCCAAAACTTTTATACGGATTTAATTCAATTCCAATCAAAATACCAGTAACATACCTCATAGAACTAGGGAAAACAATCCTGAAAGTCACATGGAAGCAGAAGAGACTTAGAATAGCAAAAGCAATTCTTGGCAACAAAGGGAAGGTAGGGGGCATTGCACAATCCCTGACTTAAAGTTATACTACAAAACTTCTGTGATTAAAAACTGCATGGTACTGGCAAACAAACAAGCAAAAACAGACCCAAGGATCAATGGAACAGATTAGAAGATGCAGAATCAACTCCAAACATAGTCACCTTATCTTTGGCAAAGGGGCCAAGCACATTCACTGGAGGAAAGATAACCTCTTTAACAAATGGTGCTGGGAAAATTGGTTTTACACATGCTAGACTGAACCTAGACCTGTATGTCTCAACATTCACTAAAATAAAATTGAAATGGATCTATAATCTAGATACAAAGACAGAAATACTTAATCTTCTGGGAGAATAGGTAGAACTCTCAAAGACATATAGGTCAAGGCAAAGACTTTATGAATAAGACCCCAGTCTCACAGGAAATACTACATAGAATCAATAACTGGAATCACATCGAATTAAAAGGCTTTTGCACAGTGAAAAAAAACACAAACAGAGTTAAGGGACAGTCCAGAGAATGGGAAAAAAGTTTTACTAGCTCTTCCTCAGAGAAGGACTCACATCTAATATATATATATTAGAACTAAAAAAAAATTAGATCTCCCAAATTAAAACACCCAACCCCAATATGAGCATCTGAAGTGAATAGACACCTCTCCGATGAAGAAGTAAAAGAAGCAAATATATATGAAAAATGTTCAACATCACTGGTCGTTCAAGAAATGCAAATTAAAACAACACTGAGATTCCATCTCACCCTAGAAAGAATGGCTACCATCAAGTAACTCACCAATAACAAATGGTGGTGGTACCATGGAGGGAAAAAGTCCTTCTCCACTGTTGGTATGAGTGTAACTTGTTAGAACAACTATGGAAATCAGTATGGGGATTCCTCAAAAAACTAAAACTAGAAGTTCCATTTGATCCAACTGTGCCCCTTCTTGGTATCTTCCTGAAAGAGTTAAATGCATCATACCACAGTAATACACACATCCTCATATTTACAGTGGCCAAATTTTTCCAGCTAAATAATGGAAACAGCCCACATGACCATCGACAGGTGAATAAAAAAATGTGGTGTTCATATACAATGTGTATAAATTTATAGACTACTCTGCCATACAAAGGATAAATGTGAGTCATTTTTAGGTAAATAGACGCACCTGGAGAGTATAATATTAAGTGAAATAAATCAGACAGACAAGTTTCTCTTGCGTGAAAAACCCAAAGAGTAAATAAGGACAAAAATGGAGGATAGATATTGGGAAGTAGGAAGAACGTGTTCAAATGGGAAGGAGAACAAAGAAACAGGTAAAGGGAAGGAAGGAAGTGAAAAGGGATAAAGAAAAAGAAAATGCAAGGAAGAAAATGAAAACAAAGCTTTGGTAAATAGGGAGGGGAAGAAGGGTTTAAGGGAGGCAAGGGGAATGGGAAAAATAGAAGAAGTAAGACATGTTATGTACAGGTACAGATCTCCTATGCCATGTGGTCATTATGTATGGCAAATATGTACTCATAAAAATTTAAAAGTCAGTTAAAAACTTTTATTACAGCAAGCTGTTTCCCTTAAAATACTACCCCTTGCTTTGAACATGTGGATCTCATTGTTCTTGCTACTTCCAGTTCTGGAGTTTCTCTTTCATGAATGTCTTCAGGAGGTGTGATGAAAATATAGTGATTATCATGTAATAGAAAAGTGGGCCCATGGAAACGTTAGGGTGTGTCCTCATCCACTTATTTTACTTTATGTGCGACTTTATTATGGCTCTTCCCCAAAGTTAAGATGACTACATTAGGTAAGTAATTTGAATTGATTCAGAACATCGAGGTAGCCAGGAAAACACCGCTAAAGATAGAAAAGAGGACTTCTAGAACCACTTTAAAAAGTGGCAGGAATGTTGTATAGGTGTGTTAGAAAGCAAGGTGAGTATTTTGGGGCAGTTGGGATAGATGGGGTACTATGTTTTTTAGTTTAAATTTTAGTTTAAATTTTTAGTTTAAATTTTAAAAAATTTAAACATCCATTGCAGTTTTCATCACATACTGTAGAAGAATTCAGAATCCAGAATCCAGTCCTGTTCACAGGTAGATAATAAAGTCTCAGAAATAACAAACAGGGCTACAGTCTAATAACAGATACACCATAGCTTCCTTCTTAAATATCTTCTTCCTCTACAGCTGCCTCCATTTTCACCCAAATTAATGATAGTAAGATCTATTTATTTGTACACTGAATGTCTCATTAAAGTTGGTCTGATTATTCACATAAGTAAGTCCAACAAGAATATTAATTAGATAGACTCTTTTAAAGTTTAGTTTGCTAGAACTTTTGAAAAAAAATCTCAGAGTAAACTTTTAAAATACTCCTGAGGTCGGAAAAGTAAACCAAACTCTCACCATCAGACTTTGTCTGCAAGATCTATAAATTTGGATGAATTTCTCTTCTCTTGAAATAAAAATCTAAACATTTGTAATATTCTTTCACTTATTACATTGGGCTTGGAAACTCTTAAAGCCAGGTAGTGTATGTACATTCTCAAAGGTGCGGTCATATTATTAATCTTTCCAATAGTGTCATGTTATAAAGAGAATAAATTCTTTTTGAACTCATGCAAATAACTATATTGTCATCAGAATAAGAACACTAGCAGTTTTTGAATTCTGGAGAAAGCAGCTAGAGAAAAAACAGCAATTGTTTCAATTCTGTTCACAAAGGTATGCTTTGCCAAAGTGCTATAGTCTGTAGATAGTTTATGCTAAAAGGGAAGAAAAAGTTTCCTCAAATCTGGATAATGAAAAATTAGGAAAATTTCAAGTACAAAGGCATAAAAATCTCTTAATTGTTCCTGATTATATGTTTAGTTCTTGATTTGCTTGATTTTTGGTTATCAAGTTTCATGGATTCACAATTTATCAGAAACATATAAATCCTTAGTACAATGATTTAATCTTAAATTATCTCAGAAACCTTTACACATCAGAATCCTTTTCATGAATCCCCTCGAAGTTGAAACCCTTTAAGTTATGTCTGCTTGCAAAAGCTTTCATGAAAATACTAACATGAAACAATTAGATGTCTGTGGATGACAAGATTTAAAGTGGCAAAGGTCAAAAATTGATGAGAGTTCGTTATAGGAATGATACAGTTGACAAGGAAATCTTGTTATTTCTATGGTGTAAAACATTTTAAGATAACAACCAAAATTCTGACTGACAGTATTTTACCAGGACATATATTTCTTGGAATTTTATGCAATTTCTGGGACACTAATATTAAT